GAAACAAAGTCTTTGTAAATAGGGAGGGATGGAGGGGTTGAAGGGAAGGCAGGGGGAGGGGGAAAAAAATAAGAACCAAGAGCAATTATGTAAGGGTGCAAATTTCCAATGATGAATGTCATTATATTGTATACCTAAAATGTACCAATAAAATTATTTTTTAAAAAAAAGTTACTCCATTCCCCTTCTTGCATTCAAGGGAAATCAAGGAGCTACTGAATAAGGGTTTTGTTTGTCTGTGGTCAGAGCCTTTTAACTGAGCTACATCCCCAGCCAATTTTTTATTTTGAGACAAGGTCTCACTATGTTGCTAAGTTGTCCAGGTTGGCCCCAAACTTTCTCTCTTCCTGCCTCAGTTTCCCAGAGTGCTAGGATTACAAACTTCAGCTGCCCAACATGATGCTGAGTAAGGCTTTTGATCCCTTGCCAAGCTTGAAGCTTCCTAAGACACTACTCAAATGGTATTTAATACTTTTTTTTAAAGACCCAAACCTCCCCATTCTAGTCTATGATATAGGGAGACAATACAGTCCAGAACTTTCTTTCATTCTACAAGTTTTTACTGAGTGCCTAATAGGTACCTAATATTTTTCCAAGGCCTTGGAGATACCACCATGAACTTGTATCCTACTTATCACTGATCGGCAGGAACAGATTATCTGTGAGTTATTTGCAATTCTCACTAGAACCAATCCACAGTATACTGTGCTTTAAACTCTATTCATACTTAAAAGTTAGAGGTGGAAGGGACAGCAGAAGTCTTGAGTCTTGAAGCTGCCTAAGGGGCTCCTCTTTCTGGGCCCACTGAGAGGAAGTATTTAATAGGATTTGGGGTCAGAGATATGAACCGCTGGTATTTATATGCAAAGTTTTGTGTGATTTTCCCGGAGCCAGTCACCACGAGTTTCCCAGAATTCTTTAAAAGGTCTGAAACCACTCCCTTTAACATAGGATCCGTAAGTTCTCAGATCCCAAGGTACTGGGCTTACACTTCCTTGGTGGAAGTTACTTTTCTAACCAAAAGCTAATGACCAATGGACGCTGCACTGGCCTTCAGCTATCTTTCCTAAATGTGATAGCTTTGCCCACTAGAAAGCTATTGGTGCAAGTGCCAGGTGGCCCACTGCCTGTTCTGCTCCTCAGTGTATTAAAGGCAAGGAAATCTTACGCCCCTTGTCGGGACCTCACTGTTAGAATCTCTAGGTTAAAACCAAAACTAGCTCCCAATGCTGTCTCCCTACAGCTACAGAGTTCTCTGAGAGCAACAAAGACACAGCTGGATTCATTTGCGCGATTCCGGAACTGGAGGGGTGGCCTAGTATTTGCATCAGCAAGTTGTGGGGTCGCACACCTGCTCAGAGGTACTGTACGGGCAATGCGCACTACCACACGCTCACGCCGGCGAACACACCCGAACTCCCTACACTACAGGTGCGCCAAGCGGACTCACGCCGGCCTAAACACGCACCGAGGGAACACAACCAAAGACCCGCACACGTGCGCCGGGCCCTCACGACTGCGCTCTTACACAAGCGCGCCAAGTGTGCCGTGCCCCTGTATCCCCTTACGAAAGTTCGCTGAGTGAGCACACAAGCACCCTGCACACTCGGCCACGCCCTTATACACACCGCGGGGGGCGTACACCCGCTCTCCTACACCCACATTCGCTCACACAACTGCAGCAACTTCCGAGCGCTACTCAGCAGGCGTGGGGCGCGCCCAGTGCTTTACCGTCAGTCACAGTCGCCTCCGCTTGCTCCCCCGCCAGCTGCACCTCCAGCCGCAGGGATCTCAGGGTGGGGGAAGGGAGCCGCCCCGGCTGGAAGAGCTGCTCCTCCGACAGGAAGCTCAGTTGCACGCGATACTGCAGGCGCTCGGAGACCCGGGCCAGGCCGGACACCTCAGCCATGGTCTGAGCTCCTCTGCCTGGAGCCCTCGCGGCGCCTGCTCCGCGCACCGAGAAACTACCAGGAGAGGGACTGGCAGCCCGCCTACTTCCCCAAGTCCCGCTCTAAGTTCAGTCTTCGGCCTTTGAGGTGCCCACTGGCTTCTGCTGGCGCCTGTCGCCAACGCCTCAGCCCCTACGCTTCCCCAGGAGCTCGCTGGAGAGCCGCAAGTCGTCACCTCACAGCAGCGCTCTGCAGGCCGCCAGAGGGGCCCACGGGGGCCGCTCGCTCGGAACAAGCGAGTTCGGAGAGGCACCTGAAGGCAGTTAAGGTTTGAAAGCAGAAGGGTGACACCTGCTGTTCGCCGGGACCGCTCTGCGGGCTCAGGTGTAGGTTGGAGGAGGTCTTGGCCCAGGCTGTTTGGTGGCCACTCTGGCTCTCGGTGTGGTTTGGGGGTCACAGGCAGGGTTCCCCAGAGCAGCACCGATGCGGTGGGGAAGGAAGCCCAGAGACACTTTGTTTCCGACCGAGGCTCGGGATGACCCTGCTTTCATTGCTTACCTGGATTTGAAAGTTTACTGGTTGCTGGATTATGGACCATTCAGCTGGAAGCGATCCCGGAGAGCCGTAGAGTCTTGTCCCAAAGTCAGTCCCTGACTTCATCAACTACCCACCCTAGTCGCTTGGTCCTAGCTTCAAAGGATGGAGTCTTCACACCTGAGTAACCAATTCACGCATCATCATGAGTCTTCTCTGCAGGAGAAACTGGTTATCTGCTACAGAGAGTTAGAGGAAGGAAGCAGTTCTTTTGACGACTCAAAAAATCGTCTTCAAATTCTGAACAAGTTGCTGTGTCTGGATAGAACGCATTGCAGAAAAGAAGCAAGGGTTGTTTTTCCATTCTGCTTCTCTGAAGACATATGTTCTTCTTAAGCAGGAAGACTTTAGAAGAACGGGATCCCTAGAAGCCCTGTGGTCTATGATTTCAGAATTACCGGAGGAGATTGTTAAACCTAGCCAAGCTCTACAAATCAGATTTCATTCCTCAGCTCACTCCCACCCCACCTCCCACTTCCAGTTCTCAATGAGACTGTCCACCTCCCTTGTGCCCCTTCTGTCCTCTCTTGCTTTTTTTGCCTAAGCCTCCTGCTCTCCCTCATTGTTACCCTCATTCCCACTTTCTGTGGCTTCTTGGCTTTACTTTGATGGTCTCAGAAATCAGATATTCCTTAAGGAGAGCATTTCTGGAGTGGAGGTCCCAGAACTCTGCATCCTGCCCCTCCTCACCCTCAGCCATCATCTTCTTACCTCTCCCGCTTCCAGCCTCCAAGCATGTTCCTGCCTTCCCTTTCCTCTCTACCCTACGCAAGCCCTGCCTTGATGGTACTGAAGTAGGTCTTAGACTTCTTTATCTTCCCATCAAAAAAGACTGTTCAGCCTTCATGTGTTGTCAGTAATTAATCCGGAAAGTTAGTGGGGAAAGGGAGTTATTTATATTAAAATATGAATGGTGGATGAAACATGACTGATAAAGTATCACTAAGAGGACAAAATCTTGGTCTTAGTGGTACTCTCAAGAAACCTGAAGTTTTATTACTCGTGATGATGATGATGATGATGATGACAGGCTTTTCTCACTTTAATGCAGGAGACAAAAACAAGTTAGGCTAATGTGAGTAAAAACTCAAAATGTTATGATTAACCATAAAGGTAGGAAATCCAAACTTCAATAATGACTAGACATAGAGACTCAAGGTTGACCACATGTCCTGTTACTTCCATAACTCATTGGAAAATGATTAATTTGTTGTAATAGATCTTCCAACTTGTGATGTGGAAAAACTACGACCAGGGAAACTGGAACAGTTACCAAATTTGCATCATCTGAATGAGTGATAAGCAAGTAACCAAAAGGTGGATGTAGCTGGGATGACGAACCAAGGTACAAGGACATCTAACACGGAGTATTCCCTATGTGATTGCCATGTTCTAAGTAGATAACATATATTAATTCAGTTACCATTTTTCTTCACTCAGTGAGAGAAATACTATCATCCCCCTTTCCACTGATGAGATAGGAACAGAGGTTAATTAACCTGTTCAAGGTCAAAGCTTATAAGTAGCATAATACAAAAGTTCACACAAAGCAGCAAGCCCATTATTGAACCCTGCTACCACTCCTCAAAGTCAAAAGTGGGTAGAGTTGTTTATTGGTATTCTAAAATACCAGTTAAGATGTTCATGAGTCCACAGAATCATGAGCACTGGAATATTTAAAAGGTTCCTTCCTCCCCACCTTCTCACTCACCTCTACCCATGCTCAAGGTTAAGAATTCCTTAGACTTCCTCTCCCTGCAGTATTTCATTTCCACTAGTTTAATTACACATGGGCAGTTTCTGCCCTGGCATGTGCACCAGCAAATGGCTAGATGATTGTCTGCCTCATGTCTATATTGTGTATGAGATCGATTCACTCACATCTCCTATGTGGATCACCACTGAATATGACTTGCTATCTTTATCCTAAATCTCTGTTTTTCATCTAACAACTCTTTTCTACCTCTTTATTTATATCCTCAGTACTTTCCTTCAGGGCCACCAATTGATTTTTTAAAATCAATTCAGGACAGTGACTGCACAGACAGGCACACCAGCTCAGCCTGGACTGTTGATCAGGAGCAGCTGGGCTAACTTGTCCATTTCAGCTCCTGTCTTGGCCCTGTCAATCTCAGAGTGTGGCTGGTTAGGCTGTTTTGCTGGCCATTTGCAAGGAATGAATGGGGTCACAGGGTCAAACTGAGAAAACCAAAGCCAAGCTACAGATTTTGTTCCTCTGGAAAATAATGAGTCCTCCTGTACCTGAAGGGCATCTTGGCATATGATTTCCCTGAGAGGGTCCACAACCACCAGTGCCACTTTCACCTCCTGATTGCCGCTCAGTATAGCTCAAAGATCTCTAATCTGAAAAATCCCAAATCCCAAATGCTTCAAAATTAGAAACTGTTTGAGCACTAAAATAATATTCCAATTAGAAAACTCCCCTCTCACCTCAAGGAATGCCTGCCCTAGAGGGATAGGTCACACCTAGAGCACAGGTGCACTAAAATACCAAAATATATACAGGAATGAAACATAAATAATGTTCATGTTCAGACTGGAGTCATTCCCAAGATATCTCATTGTGTATATGTAAATATTCCAAATCCAAAACACTTACAGTCCCAAGCATTCCAGATAGGGGAGTCTCAATCTATATACTATGGAGAGCATGTATATAATCTGTGTCTGGAGCCTTAAGAGATTCCTTTTCCCCTCTCCTTTTTCCAGATAACTCACAGAAAAGGACCTCTGGCTAACTCCATTTGCGGGGGTCTCTGGCAATGTACCCAGCTCAGCTTAGCTTCACGTCAAGAGACATCAGGCCAGTTGAGGGAAAAGGAGTGAGGTGTGGGTAGAGAGAGAAATAGAGACAGAGACAGGGAGAGAAGGAAAGATCAGAACTGGATATGGACCTGGGTGAGCTTAGGTCCCTTTGTCCATCCTGCCTCATTTGGGGAGCAGCTCTGTGTGATAGCAGACAGCAGTTCAACAAATGGAAGTGTAGATTAGGCTCTTCCATCCCTTATGAGCTCTTCCTCATACCTGAGGGCAGACCCTGCCCTTCTCTCAACAGACTGTTTCAGAAACTCAGGCAAGAGCCCTCCTACTCCCTCTTTGTAATTTCAAAGTACACTCTTCTCAGCAGTATGACAGCCACACTCCCTGTGATGGTGTTCTACAAAACAATCTGTGTCTCAAATAACAAATTCTTACACATCATGAAGTTTTCAAGGCCACTCATAAGTAATAAGAGAATGTAATAATCTGCATCTGACATAGCTATAAAGTTACAGTCAATCTTCATTGTTGGAAGCTTCCACATTTGTGAACTTCCCTACTCACAAAACTATTTGTAATGTCCAAAATCACTGTTTCTGGTTCTGTCACAGTCCTTTGCAGATGGTGAAAAATGTGAGTTGCCTATTGCCCATGATCCTACGCAAGGTGAGAGGAATCTGTACTTTGCCTTCTTGCTGCTGCTCTCTCTACTGCAGAGAAATATTCTTTTCATGGCCTGTTTAGTGTCACATATTTTTTTTGCATTCTTTTGGCTTTTTTAGTAGTTTTTCTCTTTAAAATGTCCCACAAACATAGCACTGAAATGCTCTCAAGTCCTGCTAAGTGCAAGACTAAGGGCAAAAGCTCGTGTGTTAGAGACACTTAGCTCAGGCAAGAGTTATAGTTTTGTTGGCCATGAGTTGAAAGTTAATGAATCAATAATACAATTCAATGAGATGTCTTTAAACAGAAACATCCATACAATAAGATTATTCATTGATTGGTTGAGGAAAATGTTGTGACCAGAGGCTTGTAGGAGCCTATATCTGTTATTTCCCCTAGAATAAATGTTAGCAGAAATTTTATAGAACATAACTACCACAAACAACAAGAATCGATTATATTTTACAATAACAATGTATTTTGATGGTGCCTAGCAAAAAGAGCTTTGTCACTACTGGATAATGTTTCCAAATAAGTTCAGAGCTCCTACCTTAATTCCAAAGAATGACTCCTTCATAGTGAGTGAACCTTTAGCTCCTACACCCTTGGTGGGTGAGATCTTACTCCTGGGTCTCTTAGATCAGGTACCATGCATGATGTTTCACCTATTCTTCCTGAACTTTGTTGGATGTGATCATAAAAATGAGGGGTTCCTCAGTGACATGGTCCTAGGTAATCACTGGAGAATCCAGTACATGGCCTGCTGTGACCAAAATGTGGCACAGGGCCCTCTCAAAAGTGCAAATGACTTAAAGCACCCCTCCACTCCCACCAGTGAGGTGTTTGAAACAATAACAAAACAGACTCATGCTAAAAGGACTTTTTTTTTTCTTGAGGTTCCTCAAAGCAAATTCTCAATTTCTCCTTGACAAATTCTTTAGGATAATACTAACATTATTCATTGATGATAAAATTGGCATACTGTATTATGCTTATTATTTCTTCAGAGAGATGTATTTGTTTCCAAGGATATATGTAATTGGTAGTTTAAAACAACCAAAATCTATTCTGGCCACAGTTGTGGAAGCCAGTTGGCTGAAACCAAGATGTCAGCATGGCCACACTCTCTGATAAGACTCTGGGAAGAATCCTTGTTTCTTTCTGGTGCTGGTGGTTCTCTGTGATCCTTGGCATCCTGGGCTTTGTGACCTAGATCTCTGCCTTAATGTTCCTTTTCCTCTTCATGCTCTATGTCTTTTGTTT